TGATGTGAAGCTGTTGTGGAGATTCAACAAAAAATTGTCGATTTATATTATTATCCGATGATTGTGGATTTATATCATTATTCAACCATTGTGGATCCATGATGTGAAGCTGTTGTGGAGATTCAACAAAAAATTGTCGATTTATATTATTATCCGATGATTGTGGATTTATATCACTATTCAACCATTGTGGATTTATACTATTTATGTTATTATTATCCAATGATTGTGAATTCATATTATCCAAAAATTGAAGCGCAACTATTTTTTTTTTTTAATAATTGTTGAAATTGATTAAAAATTATAATTTAAGTTACTAATTAATGACAAGAAAAAATAAAACCAATAAGTGAAATTTTAATAATTTCTTCCAGTTTTATATCAAAATAACTACACAAGTTCTTCTGTTGTAACTTTCTAGAACCCTGTTACAGATACTACTGAAAACCTTGACATAAATATAAATATTATTAAACAAATATTTATAGAAATTATTATTGTTTATGTATAATACCCAATTTGGGTCAATAGGAAAACTCGATTTGTCCTATTTGATAAAAATTTGCTCAAACAAGAAATTGTATTACAACAACAAAGAGGCTGATTGTTGCAATATTGCAACATTTAGTGTTTGATTACTGAAGACAAGCTTATTGGTAGTTTGATGTCTTTATACTATCATTTACATGTATTTATTTTATATTTTGTTGCTATTTATATATTTTGGTTTTGTTTATACGCTCTCTAGACAAAAGTATTCGGATGCTTATTTTTAATAATCATGCAAAAACTCCACAATAACTATACATAAAATTCTATCAAATTTTTGATATTTTTAGAACGTCTAGGTTAATATTAAAAAATCCGAAACTCGACGAAAATGACGACGATCACCTATTATTAATTATTGAAAATACATATGTAAACTCGATAAGTCAGTCGTGTGGGGGTGAGCTCATATGGCCGACTTATCGAATTAAATTACTTAAATATTAAGGGAATGGGGTGAAAATTTTGGCCGACTTATCGAGTAAACCGACTTATCGAGTGACCGACTTATCGAGTTTACATATGTA